GTTGCATTTCCCTAATGGCTAGTGATGTTGAATTTATTTTTTTCATGTATTTGTTGGCCATCTCTACTTCTTCTGAGAAGTGTCTATTCATTTCAGTTGCTCATTTTTGTCTTTTACATGGAGGAGAGGTCTAAATTTTTGTGTTCTTTATATATTGTTGATATTAGTCCTCTGCCTGAGGAATAGCTGGCAAAATTATTTTCCCCTTCTCTAGATGGTCTCTTTACTATATTTGTTTCCTTTTCTGTGCAGAAAATTTTTAATTTGATATGATCCCATTTGTTGATTCTTAATACTATTTCTTCTGCCCTTGAAGTTTTGTTCAGAAAGTCCTTGCCTACACCTATGTCTTCAAGTGTTGTACCTATTTTATCTTCTAATAGATTATTTCTATTTTAACATTTAAATCTTTTATTTATTTATTTTGATTTTCGTTTAGTATATGATGAGATATACAGGTCCAGACTCAGTTTTCTGCATGTGGATAGGCAGTTTTCTCAGTACAATTTATTAAAGATGCTACCTTTCTTCAAATGTATGTTTTAGGCCCCTTTGTCAAAGAGCAAATAACTGAATCTGCCTGGAGTTATTTCTGCAAGCTTTATGCTGTTGCATTGATCTACATTTTTTAAACCAATTCTGAGCTGTTTTTATTAATACAGCTTTATAATATTACTTGAAATCTGGGATTGTGATGCTAATTGCTTTGCTCTTGTTGCTGATTTCTTTTGCTATTCTGGATCTCTTCTGGGGAGAGAAATACAGTGAAACAGTAGACAGCAGAATTTCCACATTGTTTCATGAGATAAGTATGTTATCATCCTTATTTTACAGGTTAGGAAATAGAGGCACAGATGGGATGAGTAACTTGTTCAAGATCACACAGATAGTGGATTTGAGACTTGAACCAGGCACTCTGGCTGCAGGGTCCATGCTCTTCACTACTGTTAACTTCCACCCTTTACTAATTCAGAGTTTGCAGCCCTTGGATGCGAGCTGAGTGTTAACTTTTATAATGTCTCTGAAATATGAGATTATCAAATACTAGAATAATAATATCAGTGAAACTATAAAGTTAACTTTTGCACAGAAAAATTATTTACATGATAACAGTCAATTAAAACAAATAGCTGGGCCAGGGATTTAGCTCGGCAGTTCCGCCGCCTGCCTTGCAAGCGCAAGGACCTGAGTTCAATCCCCAGTAACAACAACAACAAAAAGCTGGTATTTCTATCACAAATTATTTTTGTATGTTCCAATGAACAAAAGGACCTGAAGGACATTTGGAATGGATCAATAATTTTTTTCTTAATTTGTTACTAAAGTAGTTATATATGAAAATAATAAAATCATCTTTCTTGAAAATCTTGGAAAGATCAGTCTTTTTAAAGAAAAAGCACAACCAGTGTAGCTTTTTCTTTGAATGAATTGCAGCACAGTGGAACAAGTTGCATATACATAGCTGGCATTTATTTGAAAGCATTGATAGAGTCGCATGTCCTTTTCATGGTCAGCCTTATTCTGCTGATTTGAAGAGCATTATTTGTAGGAGGTAGTGTCCTAGTTAGTGAAAGTGTGCCTATCCTGTTAGTCTGGTTTTCTTTTTTCTGGTTGTCATTCTTCTGGATCCTTTTATTTTTAAGTTGTCCTTTGAGAAGCAGTGGCTCTAGGTATCCCAGAGAGATACTCACATTTTTTAAATTGTTGCAGCAAGTGGCCCAGCTAAGTCTACATGGCAGGTTATGCATGGCAGAGCTAAAGAGGAGACTGAGATTCTCCTATGGCACCAGTGCATTATGCTGTCATATAGTTACCCCTCCGCCCCCATAAGACTTCTTGTGGTGCAGAGTCCTGTCCTGAATGACAGGGTGATGACATGGCCTGGGCCGGTTTTCCCAAGTGTAAGTTAAGCTTCCAGAGCATCTCCAGGCCCATCTTGGAGATGGCTAGCCTTACACTAGATGACACTGAATCATGTAGTAAGGTGGATATTTCCTTTTGATCTTTCTCTGGATTAAAGATGAAGGTCTCAGTTTAGTATCTCATATATTTACCACTTCTCAAATCCTTTGGAATCTCTTTGATAACAGACATAGGGAAGGTCTCTCACACTCCTAGCTTTGATGAGTAAATATATTTAGAATTTAATTTCATTGCCTTTTGTGTGTGTGTGTGTGTGTGTGTGTGTGTGTGTGTGTGTGTGTGTTGCTAGAGGTTGAACCCAGGTCATGCTAGACAGGCGCTCTCCCTCTGAGCTATATCTCAAACTTTCCCTTCTACTTTTGACAGGGAACCTTGGCTGTTTACAGTGAGGATAAGATAGTTCCTTAAAATATAAATTTATTTAAAGAAAAAGATGAGTATGTATTAAAGAACATAATAATATAGGTGACATGTAGCTATGGAAAATTGTGAATTTGGTAGAGGAGAGACAAAAGCTTGAAAATGTTGGTCTACTGCCAGGCATAGCTAACTTTTTAGAGATACACAGTTTCTTCTTTGAAATCGTTAGGACCAGATTTGTTTTGAAATTCAACCTTTTCAGATCTTATGAGCATGGTCTTTATACCATGTTTGGAAGGACTGTCATAGGAGACATTGGTCAATGCCATCTCAAGCATGGTGTTATTTCTGCAGCAAAAATATGAATGTTCACTCTAAATGGGGTAAAAAAAAACCCAGTCTATATGTGAGCTTAGGTCTGACTCTTTGTCCAAGTACGCTTTTGAACCAAAAATATGAAAAAATTAGTTTTTCAGTTTTCTAGATTTCCGAGTTTCAGCTAAGAGATTGTGGATCTGTCTTGATAACTCAATTACATAAGTTTTTAAACCTCTAATCAAATCATGCAGAAGACAAGTTACTCTCCAACTTGGACAAAGTACCCCTACTCTGTCATTGTATAGTTTATTTTTCTGGTTGGACATGACCTTTGTATAGATTCTCACCTACCTCCCAGGGCAGATAGACTTGTTTGGGAAGGAAAGTTGAATCCAAGCCTTTCACCTGTGTATATATGAAAACACCTGGACTTTCTGGTTTTGCTCATTTCTAAGACAAGCAGTCAGTGTTCTTTGGTCATGAAGAACGTGGCTGTTGGGTTACTGGGCAGTGTGCATTCACTGGCACCACACAATCTGGGGAAGTATTTAATTTGATTCTGTATTTAAAAAATGAAATCCATCCATTGCTTGCAATTATCTGGTTGAAGATCTTGTTAGCTCTCAGGTGAGTGTAGTTATCAACAATGTCCTAATTTTCCAGTGATTAAAGAGGAACATGAACAGATTCCTAAATGTGATGGCTGAAATGTCAGGTGTTTTAGAGTCTCTGAAAATGTGACACCAGAGAGCAGTTAAGCTCGATTAATTACACTTCAGGGATTCATGCTGGCTCATTTATGATTGTTTTAGAAACATTCTGTAAAATAACAAATGAGAAAGTATTTTCTTACTTTGGAACACATTGAAAGTGTCTTTTCAGATTCTTGATTTATAGCCTTTGGAACCTCACTTTTCTTTTGAGTAATTAGAACGAAAATGTATAGAATTTGATCATGTAGGTTATACTTGTGAAGTATTTGTATATTATCTTGCTATTAAAACAAATTAATGAAATACTACCTTATGGACATAGAATAAAAATGTTTTCACTTATTTCATATATTTTCTGAAGAAATTTAATAAAATCTTACTTCCTTAGGGAGAAGTAGATTTAGATTTAGAATCTGCAGCCAGGGCTATTTGGGTGGTACAATTTGTGTATCTTTGAAACTTTTATATCATCCAGAACTTTCTGTGACAGAATAGAATTTGTAATTGTTGTACATCACTACTCCTTTTGCATTTTCTGTTTCACTCCTGTGGGCTTGCCTCAGGTAAGAGGCAGTGAGGCATGTATTGTTTCTAAGGCATAGAGGCAAGACTGTCCCTTTTGTACCTGCTTTACAAATTTACTGGAATGTGAGGGTACTATGCAAGTGACATTGAATCTACTCTACTACAGTCATTTGTAGCTCGCTGATAGTCTATTAGTATAACACACTGTGATTAGTGTTAAAATCTTGTACTTCTGATAGAACATGCTTAAAAATTATTACTCTTAATAGTATAACAAAAATGACGAATATCTTGCACTCTGTGTCACTTGCTTTATATGTCTGAACTCATTTCCTCCCCGTAGCTACTCTCTGAGGAAAGCGTACTAATAACCCACTTCTATGGAGGAGGAAACTCTGGAGAGGTCTGGAGAATAACCAAATGAGTCAAAGTCACAGCAAAGAAGGCCTTCTGGAATGAATATGTTTTATTGCCTTCAACTCTTTGTTCCCTACAAATGCAACAACATCTCAACTCTCCGAGACTCAGTTTTAAGCAGGCTATTTGTGTCATTAAGACAGAGGAAACCTCCATCTGTAGGACTGTGTGTGTCCTGCAGGCATTGCTGAACCAGACATGCTAGGCACATACTGTGTCTGCACTTGTAGTGAAGAGCCCCGGAGTGTGAAGCTACCATAGTGTGAGAAATTCGCCACAATCACCAGTGCTTCCAGGTAGCAGATGGAGAAACATAAAGATCGATTTAATCTGTTGGAAATTGAAGGAGAAGTCCTAACTGATTTTAAAAAGATCCCCAACGATGGGGAAAGTCATGCTTTGAGTGGGCGTATATGAATATCTCTAGAACTATTTATTCAACGTCAGGCTGAGACAATAGAAATTTTGGGGGTGGAAGAGACTTGTATGTAGGTCTTAAAAATATGAAGACAGCAAAATACCAGCTTTAAAAATGCACTTGAGCCAGGGATTTAGCTCAGCGGTTCAGTGGTCTGCCTTGCAAGCACAAGGACCCGAGTTCAATCCCCGGTACCAAAAAAAAAGAAAAGAAAAGAAAAAAAAAAAGCACTTCATTATGTTTTCTTTAGGGCTTGACTAAGAAGGTAAAGCTCAACTATAAAATAAATTTTTTCTATTTTTTATTTTGTTTCCATTTTCTTCTAGGTCACTCCTGTGGTGTTCGCAGGGAGCCCACACATCCCCCAGTGTTCCCCACTGCAGGCCAGCTCTCTGACATCCTGAATGGGGGTGAAGAAGCCTATGGCAACTGCATGGTGCTAGATCAGGTGAGGCACCGCTGACCTCCTCCTCTTTCTAACTCCCGAGTGTGTGAAATGCCTGTAGTGCAGTCCAAGCACTGCCCAGAGGGTCCTGCTGTAGAGTCGCACTCACCAGCTTGTACTTAAGTCCTTTTGTCAGAAAACACGTTCCTCTACCAAGACATGGCAGAAGGGGCGAAAGCTCTTCAGTGGCACCAAGACGCAGGACCAGTATCTCGCCTGTGGCTTTTCAATGAAAGCTGTCTGCATGATTTGATTGGGCAGTGTTTGTATTCACATCCAACAGTGACGAGAAGGTGCCTGTTCCCTGCCTCATATGCTGTGTCACATACATTACTTACTTAATCTTTATGACACACCTGTTAACTGATACTAAGGCTATGAAACTTTAATATTAATACAGGAAAAAACAAGAACCAAGATATATCATGTAAAAGTACAAATTCCCAATGAATCATGTCATTGTATTGTATACCTAAAATGTACCAATAAACTTAATGAATAAAAATAAATAAATAAAAACAACAGCAACAAAAAAGCCAGAATGGTACCATTCTGAGGAAGTTGGAACCATTTAGAATTTTCTTCCCACTGGAGGGAGAGAGTTTGAAGGTGCCAGAATCTACTTCGCTTTTGTTCTTTTCACTCAGTATTCTTCAAATTTTCATATTTGAAAATTAAAAATGAAAATATAGATCTGAAGATCTCTGTGAAATCTAATTTATGATAGATTTTCATAATTAGTTTTGACACATGATTTTGCCTTATCTAGTAACTTTAAAACTACTTCCCATATAAAATGCACTAGATATATTAACTAAGTAATAGATATTTTATCTTTTTGCT